GGAACTGTCTTTCTAGGCTGTTAGCCGCTGATTTTACCAAACTCCCCTTAACAGTCCTGCACAGTAGATACAGCGATCTCCAAACTGCAAATGAGGAAACAAGCTCAGAGAAGTTAAGTCACTGAACTAAAGCCACCCAGCTAGTCGGCAGCAGAGCCAACATCCCAATGCTAGTTCTCCTGACTCCCAGCTTCTGCCCTTTTCACTTGCCTAAGGGAGCCTGGAGTGTGAGGTCCTAGACACGCAAATGCAATGGACAACACGGTAACTGCCACAGTGGATGCGTGCACAGGCTGTCATGAGATCATAGATGGAGCAGGAAGGCATCTCAGAGGAGCAGTGAGGCTGAAGGTGAGTGATGTGTTCACGGACTCCTAGGTGGGTGGTGAGGCTGGGATAGGGGTGGCGTCGGAAGGGCTGTGTGGACTGAGCCCAGAGTCGTGGATTATGTCCTATCAGTGATGAGGAGCCAGAGGGTTTGGGGCAGGGACATAATGCAGTCAGATCCCATGTGTCCAAAAGATGATTCTGGTGACTGGGCAGAGAGACAGGGTGGAGAGCAGATACCAGCAAAGCCCTCTTACAGCCCTATGTGCAGACCTGGAGGCGGGTGGGCAGTGTGGGTCAGTTTTGCAACAGCAAAGAGGGAAAAATCCTGTGTATTTCTCAGATATTTAGAATTTTCTTTCGTTCTTTTGGAGGGAAGAGAGCTAAACATGGCTGGAAGACTGGACCGTGAGATACAGAAATAACTCCATTTTACAGGTTGGTCTAATTGTATCTTCAAGTCCACGTTTTTAAAAAAAAATGAAGAAAAAGAGAACTCTGTATTCATACCTAGGATTTCACTTAGAGTCCCTTAAAAGGAAAATGACCTGCATTTGGGATTCTGACACTGGTGGTGGGGGTTGAATGTCTTGGCGTCCAGCCCGCAGCTCTGTGTCTATACTGCTGTCACTGTGTAGTTTCCCAGTCTGCGTCTACCTGCACGCAGGACCCATGCAACTTATTTATCTGCAGAGTTGCTAGATTACCCACAGTATTATGGTACCCATTTCACAGATAAGGAAACTGAGGGCTCAGAGAAGTTGTGTAAGTTGCCCAAGCCCTTGGAGCCAAACCAAGTCAATCTCTGTTGAGTATGGACTATATTTTGTGGCCATACTTATTGACCTAGAAATTGAGATGCTTGACTTCTCATGAAAAGTCTGTGTGGCATCTGAATGCAAGAAATTGTCTGACAGATGCTGAATACTGGAAGATCTGGGGATGTTCTGATGGGCTATAGGATACAAATATTTGGAACTAGCACTGTTGGAGAGAACCCTGGAGGAATGGCTGCCTGAGATGTGCCTTCTTTCAGGCCCCAGACTGCTCTAAGGTGGCTCTCCTGACAGCGCAGATGGATGTAGGCAGAACAGCAGCTCTAGGGGTAAAGTGGAAGGGACAGTATTGGATGTCATGTGTCCTGTGCTATCAGCCAGGCACCAGCTGGTGGGGAAGCAGAAGCAACCTGGGGTGAAATGGGAGCTAGGAAGGACAAATGGGGAGCCCCTGAGCATGTCTGTCCAGCAGTACCCAGCCACTCACAAAGTTCCATGACCTCCACTGGGGGCTGCGTGCTGGGCCCCAGGGTGCGGAGGGTCTGAGCTGGCAGCTCCCAGCTGGGCTAGAGGCTGATTTAGCTCAGAGGGATGCCAAGGCCAGCACTTGTGGGAGGAGGGGAGGAGAAGCCGCCCACAAAGAGACAGATGAGATGTGCAAAGCTGGCTGAAGCCCCAGCATCAGAACCACAGGCTGCGGGCAGACATGACGGATGAACACGGCGCCCTGCAGAACCACCCTGGAGAGCAGGTCCTGCCCAAGCAAGGACAGAGGGGAAACATCTGTGTCCTGCTCTGGCTGATAATATAGCCACTGGCCACATGCAGCTATTTAAATTTAAATGAATGAAATTTGAAAGAAAAGAAAATCTTAATTCCTCAGTCTCGTTAGCCACGTGTCAAGTGCTCAGTAGCCATCGGTGGCCACCAGACCAGACGGTGCTGACATAGCACAGTTCCATCTTTGCAGGAAGTTCTATTTGAATGTAAGTTATCTCATTGGTACTTTTTCTATTGATTACAAGTTGGAATAACCTTTAAACTATATTGAGCTAAATAAGATACACTAACTTCACCTGTTCTCTTTACTTTTATCACTGTGGGTAGCAAACTTGTCAATTACCTACACGGCTCAGATTTCTATCGGACAGTGCTGTAGAGATGGGTACAGAAACCACCTCCGTTTATCCATCGCTTTTAACACCACACCCGTTCACTGGTGTTCTGTTTGATGATGGCTATAAAAACTCTTTCTTAACACAAAGGTTACAGAGCCAGCCCAGGCTGATGGGACAAAGGCAAACTCGGGAGCCAAAAGAATTCAGGTTCAAATTTCAGCTCCATCCCCCTTCTGGCTGTGAGATTTGGGGCACATTACTTCTTTGTGTCTCAGTTTTCTCCTCTAAAGATGCAATCAATGATTGAACCACTGCGTGGCGTCGCTTTGAACGCTGGAGGAGGTGGTGCCTGCAGAGGGCCTGGCATGGGCCTGGCCCTCCGTACAGCTCAGTAAAATGGTAGCCATTGTCATCGTTGCTATCACTGTCATTGATATTTTTGGCATGAAAGTGTAAGGGTCAGTTTCTCTGGCCTCAGACCACCCACTCCCCTTGCCTCAGCACTCTTGCTCTCTGATACGGACCCCCCGGAGATGGTGCAGCAGGCAGCTGTCAGCATCCTTTCCCAGGCACTCACCTGCTGGCAGCTGCTGGCCCACGAGGCCCGGAGGGCACCCCAGCTTTCTGAGCGCGTGGCCTTGCTCTCCAGGTGCATCCGCAGCTGTGCCTCCAGCTCCTGGCTGACTTTCTCCAGGGCGTGCACTTTGGCCATGTATTCCACCAGGCAACCCCCCAGGTCCTCAACGGCACTGAGGTCCCTCTCCAGGCCAGGAGCGGGCGCCGTGGCCAGGCCTGAGCTCCGCAGGCCCTGCAGGAAGACACTGCTGATGCCCAGGGCCCGGCGGGTCACACGGGCACCCAGGCCACTTGTGGGCCCACTGGGTGTCATCCCTACATAGACCCTGGGTGCTCGGACGAGACCACCCACGGTGATGGTCCTGGAGGCCGGGAGGCTGTCCAGGGAGGATGGTGACTGTGCTCCCCTGAAGGATGCCTTGTGCCTCTGGAGGGACATGCTGGAGCTGGTGCCCGCGGGCACGTCCACCACCACTCGCCTCGCGCTCATCACCCCTTCTGCCTCTGCTGTGCCTAGTGGGTTTACAGAGCCCAGTGGCTTTTGGTTTCCAGCCCCAGTGTCCCCGTGACTGGGCCTCTCTGGAAGCTTCCCTATGCCAAGGCTGCTTTGTCTGCTGTTTTCTATGAGTTTCCACCATTCACCAAGCTGAAAGGGAAATGGCCCGCCCAGGGCTGTGTGCAGAGAGGCGCTCATGCATTCTCCGCAGGGTCATGTGCCTGACCTCCCAGATTTTTCTGTGGGTGGTGGGGAGGTTGAATCAGTGCAGGCCATTGGGGTGGCTCATCTGGCTTGTGTATTTCACGAGCTAAGAGAGGGTTAGGCAGGCAGCTAGCAGCCCCATTTCACAGATGAGTAAACTGAGGCTCAGAGAGCTTAGATTGCAAGTACGGTGTGTGGCTGAGCCAGGACTGGCTCCAGGTGTTCCAGGGCCGATGTTAGGGCTTTCTACATCCTTCCTGTGCTGTGTGTGTGAATGTGTGAATGTGTAAGTGTGGACAGAGATGGCTGTGAACCCGCCTTGGTGGTTAGCAGCCCCAGGGACTCAAGAGAAACAAACTAAGCCTGTTGGTTCCTTCACACTCCCTCCATCCAGGCAGCAGCTTCAGGTCCCTCCCTAGCACCTTTCCTCCCTCCAGCACTGTGTTCATCAGCTTCTTGACCTTGGCCATGTTGCTCCACCTTTCTGGACTGATGGCTCTAACCAACATCCACTAGACAAGGGACTGTGGGTAAATTCTGGTCCCACACACGTTGGTCACCTATTATGCATCAGGTGTTCCCTATGCCTCTGTTTCCCTGTCTGCCAGAAAACTAATAAATAAAAACAAAGAGGCTTTCCAGTAAGAGCTTAAAGGGTGCTCCAAGTTAGGATTTGATGACACCCCCTCCCTGGGCTTTAATTCATGCCCTCAGTATCCAGAAAGGATCTTGTAGCCCCCAGGATAACAAAATGCACCTAAAACCCACTGCATTTAAGTTCTGTCTTAGATATGCAAAGTGACCAAAACCCACAGGTGGATATTTATCCCAGATCATGCAACGTGGGAGCAGCCTCCAGGAGAGAAGGGGCAGGGGGTCAGCTGCTAGTGAGGGCTGACTCCATCTGGTGCTGTGCAGATTTCCATCCTTCACTGAGTTCTCAGTTCCACCCGAGG